CTGTGGCAGCAACAGTTTCAGTTGAAGACATAAGGCGAGCCTGCTTTGTAGGAGGGCCAGTAGCTGAGAGGGCAGTAGTGACCTGGCCCAAAGCGGCTGTAAAATGCCCAGGCTCCGATAACAGACAGCAAGATGGTCGTTCGCGCTTTTTTAATGGAACAGAGTTGACACCACTATGATTTAGTCCCGTGGAGGAGCAAGTGATCGAGGAAGAGACCTGTGGCAGGAAATCTGAGAGACCTATGAGCATAAAATGAAGAATGTGTAAGATAAAGCAATGATAGCAATGAGAGAAAGCATGGTACATAACAGTAGTCTATTGGTGGGTCATAGAACGTGAACGTTAGAGAAATATGTAGTCAAGTGATTTTTGCTAAATACCATTTACTAACAAGCCATGAGTGAGAGAGGCCGTAAATGTAGTTAGTTAAATGCCAACAATAATTATTTCCCGATATTGTTATGCAAAAATAATCATTAAAAATACAGATTGTTAGCTCAAATTCAAGGATTAATGTTACTCGAAGATCCAGGAGCTTGGCTAAGTTTTAAAAGCGCCTGTATTAGCGAATTATGAAAGCAAATAATGATGTTTTACAGCAACGAAGAGATTACCATCGTTTTTGGAGTTAGGCTAAAGAGGACAGATTTGGGGTTCCTATACAGAGGGTGACTAATATGAAAGATCCTATGAAAACTCAGTAAAAGGTATTTCCACAAAGGTCGAATGTCTTACCAAGATTGCGCTCTTCCTTCTCATGCGTCCTCGTCTGACGGTCCATCAAAGAGGCCTCCCCATGTACCTCTAAAGAAGCAGAAATTGCATCTGACTGGCAATGGCCGAGAGCCAGAGCAGAAGACAAAGGGGGAGCCAAGATGGATGTAGAGACTAAGGGGTCAGGAGAGCCGACACGTGTTCCTGTTTCCTTCATAACCTGGTCAGATCCTGGCCAATCAGAGATTATTGCTGAGCCGTTTGGGGCTCCAGATACAGCTATACTCAGACTAGACTGTCCTGAACCTGATGTGATGGTATTTTCAGGGTCTAGAGGAGAAGAGGGCGCTGATACTTGAGAGGCTGCGCAAACAGAGGTGAGTGGATACGTTGATATGGAGTTTTGAGGCCGGGAAGTAGAGTTAGGAGCAACTTGGGCTCGAAGGCCTTCTGCAATCGCCTGATAAACAAAGTTAACTAAAGTATGAATACGAATATCGAAAGTATTATTATTAAAAAGTACAAAAACGACTAATATGAACCGAAATTATAGCAGTCATAAAGCATATCTGAATGGAAGGAGCTTTTATATAAATAGATAGAGTAACGGACCAAAGAAGTCAAAAACTTTAAGTCATTCCGTAACTAAGTTCGACTTAAAGATACAAGCTCTCGGACCAAGTAAGACCATTCACGGTTAGAAGCAATCGTAGAGATAGTTTCAAGAGTTAAAGGCAATCTATATGCCTATCAGGTAAATAAAAGCGATGTTGTGCCTTAATCAATGATTATTGATGAAATAAAATCAAACATTATCGTTCATATTAATTAACATTCAGATATTTGAGGAAGTAATGCTTTCAATAGTGGATGGTGGAATCGCATTCGTATGATAATACTATACGTTTTTCAATACGAAAGTATATAATCTGCAGAGGCCACAACATCTCTCTCTCTAGATATATATATCCTTACTATTATTTGGCAAAGTAAAGCCCAATTAATTTGAAAGAACATACACGGTAGTAACGTCCAAAGCTGTTTTGTACAGGTTAACTACCTCCCCACCAAACATACTTTGTTCCCTAACGTATTTTGAGTACTCTTTGTCCTGATTCTTGTAGCCAAATTCCTAAGCTTTCTAAAATGTCCGTATCGTACCTATTAAAAAACTCTATAGTATAGCTAATCTGACAGTATTTTTAACTAAGCTAGGTCCTATGGAGTAAGTGTCAGCCAATA